CTTAAAGGATGTGTAAAAGATGCTTCTGCTCCCAAGGCTGCCTTCACTTTGCAGCAGCCTCTGACTCATTAGGAGACAAACTCAACACTCAACATTGTGCCAACTTCTGATGAAAATACAACCTTCTGTCTGTCTGTCAGATGGTTTGGTAAGTTCTGGGAGAAAAAGTATTGGATGAATCTGAGCACGCTTCGTTCAGGACTCATCACAATTTCAGCAGTACAACCAATGGGTAGTAGCAAATTAGTAGAAAAGGAATGAGATGCAAGTACAGTATAAGAGCTGGCTGTGTCTTAACCAGAGAGGAAGTTAGTTATAAGCATTGTTCAATGCTCTAAACTTGGAGCTCAGAAGAATATTCTGTGATTCCTATGATATCATTGCTTTTCAGTTCATATTTACCTCTGGACAAAAGCTAGGAAGTTTTCACTGGTGTCACTGAAGACGCAAATAACATGGTAAAATCCTAACATAATTTTGTTAAAGATGAAAAAAGTAGTTTGATTCTCAAAATCCTCCATGAGTTCACGGTGCTTTTAGAGCAAGAAAGCCATGGATGGATGATGTATATTTAATTCAGAAATCTCAGAGAGGCAGATGTGTGAACACCGACACATCCACACACAAAGCAATACTTTTACAAAGTGGTTTTCAGGTGGACTGTAAATGTGTGCTGTAAGAACAAAACCTTACCTGGGATTAACAGAAATAAATATGTCTAATTTAAATTTCAGTTAAATGTGCAGATACTACTGGACATACTACTGTACAGAAAAAAATACTTTTATGAGGTTAGAGATAGCTTTATGCCACAAAATTGCAATGCATTCATGCTGTGGATCCACAATAGTGAACTCACAACAGTAATCCTACTTTAATCACACATTTTAAAAAATTCTCTCTGTTATACCTTATGTTTAGCTTGAGGGACATAAAACTTTTCACCTCAATTTTTATTTTTAGATCAGCTGCACACATTTTTCAATTGTGTTCTTTCTTCATTCATTCTAATCGTTTTCTTTAACTATTCAGTTTATTTTCTTTTCAACTATGTTTTTTTTGATTGTCAGCATTCCAGTTTTCCTAGATCTTTAACTTCCTATTTTATATTTTTGAACACTGTACTGAAAAAAAAAAAAAAAGAGGGAGATGTGTACTCATTACATTTGCTACTTGGCTTCCAGACTGTAGCATACTTTGTGGTCAGGAGTATAAAGCAGAGAGTTTTCCTGTTTTCCTTGCTTGACCAGAGTGCTGCTTAACAGTATTTATCTCCCTCCTGCTTTGATACCAAACAATAAATTTGCATAAAATGACTTGCCCAAACTTTGAAGACAAGGTTGTGTGTGTTGTCACTGTAATTCAAAAGAAACATTGAGAAATACGTTTATCAGAACTGCTATATATAATCTCAGCAAAGGAAACATATTGCGCAGAAAGCAGAGGTTTCCTCCCCAGGATGGAGTGTGTCAGCCCTATAAAAGGCAGAAGAATATCCAGGAACCTGACACATCAGAGAAGGAGGAGGATTCAGAAAGACAGCATATATTACTATTCCAAAGAATACAACTTTCATGAATTACAGGAATAAAGACTGAAAAGACACCAGTGATCTAGCTGGAAGTCTAGAACACCTGGATGACTGTATATATTATTCTCTAATTCTTGAGAAGTATCACTGGAGACATTTAGACACCAAGTTGCTTTGAATATCAGGTAAGTAGTTTGTTGTTATAGCCTGAAGTGTCGTTTTCCATCAGCCTAAGAGCTAATTGTCAACTGGAAATGCACCACACATTCATAAAAGACTCTCATAGTTTTTTTTCAAGAAAGCACCAACCTCATCAGTAAATTGACTGGGAAAAATTTGAAGATT